TCTTCTCTTCTCTTCTCTTCTCTTCTCTTCTCTTCTCTTCTCTTCTCTTCTCTTCTCCTCACGGAAAGCTACTTTTCGGGCCAGCTCCATTTACTATGACCTCCGCAAGATACAGTAAAATCCAACTCTTTCTCAGTCGACCACCCAGTCTTTACTTGATGTCTCCCTGAGACGCGTTTGGAAGACAACACTGTGCGGGAATTCGACCTCTTTAACCTATCAGCCAAACGAGAAAGAAGACACGGGGTGCAGATACTGCATGCTACCACGGATGAAAATTTTGCGGGTACTGCAATGCTGCTTGGCAGCCAAGAGTTCTCTCATTCATCACAGTATGACTGAGACTCACAGCCTCTTACACCGTCGTTGAACATTTTTTTCTGGTACGCCTACCGATCTTCGCGGCGCTATAGTTGCATTTCGCATTAAGTACGACAGTCATTACTTTCTCGAGTGATGTGGGAGACGCGGAAAGTCTCGGTGTGAGCTGTTCTTGATGAAATTGATAAATATAACCACCGTTGCGGCAGAATAATGTCAAAACATTATATTCTAAGTCCCGCTTTTTCAGACGGGCGTTTAAGAACTTGGAGTGCGCTCGATAAGTCTAGCTAGCAGCGCAAGTATCTTTCCAGATTTGGAATGTATTTCTCGTTACAATTGCAAAACAACGCGCTTAAGGAATGACTGGTATCTATTAATTCGAGAGTCACTTTTCTCATTTTTTAAATCAAATATTGAAGTAAATTTATCAATACGCCAAAACTGCTGTCTCGCCATAGAACATTATGATTTGGCAAAGGTTCTCCCCTAGTTTCCGAAAGGTAGGCGGCAGGTAAGAGAAGAGCAACTCGTCACCACTAGCGATTTAAATTTAGCTTTCCGTTAAGATCAATGCCAGTCGAGTAGCTGTATCCGTCGCCTGATGTATCTTAGTATTGCCAATCGAGAGGCGATGACAAGTGATCGCCTCGATGTTGGCGTAGCGCCAAAATTAAGGTAAATTTAGGTAATAAGACAGGTCTTTAGCTTACGCCTGTTTCATTAAATGGCAAGCCTTGCTCACGATGCAAAAATGTCATTAACGATCCTATTAAACTTTGCTGCGATTTTTGTACTTATTGACAAGCAAACTGATCATGTCGAGCTTGTGATAGCTCATTAGCAATGAAATCGACTTCCATCGGCAACAACGTAGCGGTATGTCTTTCCACTTTGCTCTGGGAACGGGTACCATGTGCGGGGCTAGAAAAATGACTATGAGCGTTGTAAGTGCTCAATTCGCGGCGAAACCGAAGAGTGGCAAAGCATTGCGGTCCTTGGAGAGGGATAGGTGGTGCTTGGGGACTTACTGATTCACTTGTCTATCTTTTCTTGTAAACAAACAACTTTTCAAAGTGCTTACATGGCGGCGATCGCCGAGGTCGCGTCATTCGAGGCAACTCGCCGAGACATGCGCTTTTTTCAACAGCTTAGGATGGTACTCCCGGTGATGTGTGGTTTTAGGAGGCCACACTGCTGTGTTTGTGTACGCATTTGGACAAGAATGTTTTCAGATCAGGATGGCCTGCAACCTGTCCGATAATGATTTATTACCCCAGCGGGATCTTTATTTTTATGAAAAACGGTACGCGGCCAGTTATGACGCGCATACACATTAAATTGCGGTATTGGGATTCTAGGCCCAGACGTACCTTACTAAGGTGCTATGGGTGCGCAAGGATGTGAGAATTTGTGAGATCTGCCAGAAAGTGAAATCATTGGGTAGTAATCAGATGGGTTGGAAGTTGTTGCGCAAGACATAGAATACAATAGAACATATCATGTCGAATGTTTGAGCTAGTCTTGTTTGCCCGTTTGGAAATTGTCATATGCATGTCAATAATTGAGCTGGACTTATTTGCACTTTATACTCCAGCAGTTTGTATCATACCACAAGCTCGTTTAAATGCGAACAGTAGATCATCAAATACTGCAACCATCGCGTCTATTGCATCGTTAGACAATGTGTCTCTGTGTGTGGCAGCAAGGTTTACCGCTTTACTAGTCTCGAATTTACTCATACATCGCCCAAATTAGCTTTCACAATTAGGATTTGAATCTCTACTTACATCGATAAAGCTTGTAAGGCTCCATTTCGAAGCCCGCAATGCTTGCAAATAGAGAGAGGGTTGTGTCGTCATACAATTTTTGGTTGGTTTAATAGTATTCGGCATATACCATTGTCTCAGCCGTTTCGAAGTACCAATATTATGGCGTTGCATGGAATGAACGCATACGTAACCCCCATTCACAATAAATTAATTGACCTGAATATTAATTTGGCTTAGCTGGTATTTTTTTTGAGTGGCTTACATCGCACATCCATGGCTCAACATAATATTCCTCTCATAAACCTGCTGGTCGGTTAATGAAGAATTCTTCAAATAACAAGAAGTAAAGAGTTGCTTACATCAATAAACTAAGTCATAATGATCGGACAACGTGCAACCGATCATGCTTTTCCACAGTACGGTTCTCTAAGAAGCGATATTAACGCTATATTGAGCTATACTCAGCCAATTTAAGCATACAATATATACCACTTGCTATTAGCTATTCCCCCAGTACTCACCAAATGCGCTTCCTGCTTTGCAAGGAAGAAAGTATTGCGACACAACACTATTTACTTGTAAAGACCATTGATGCGTGAGGCAATATTTGGTTCCCGAAACTAGATCAACCCAGTGACGCACCTACCCTACACGGTTATGTCACCTGTGGCGGATCTCTCGCCATTACGTCCCCCTGTTGCTTCAACAAACGCTTTGAGTGTTTTGTAAGATCCAGTATGATCGTTGCGCCAATTCTGCACTCATTGTCCTACTAGTAATCCAAACACGCACTCTCTCCTTTACAAATTCTCGCACACATTCTCGAAAAAGAACAATTTAGCTTTACAAGCGCGTTTACTATTGAAAAAAACTTACATCCAACGACTTCCCAGATCCCTTCGTCGACGAACGATCAAGCTGTATCGTAACAAACATTTGAATCTTCGCTGATATGCGTGATAGGTGCGTCACGTGGTTCTGCCAAGACGACGGCCCACCGCCGGTTCTGCCTTGAAAATTTAGTTTATGACTTTTAGCAATAAATCATTCCTCACCAGATATCCACTTTTGGGAAATTTTGCGTGACATCCATCTTTTTGACATGTAATGGATATGGCTTATCCGCGTCATACCGAGTATGGAATCGAGTCTTAGACCAAGCAGCGTCCACACTGTCAAAGCTCCAGGTAATTAAGAGTTACTTCAATTTTCTGACTAGATTCCCTTCGCAAATCATGCAGATATGACAATCGTAATAGCTTTGTGCTCACTATTTTTGACAGTAGCGTGTCGTACGCCATTGCCCGACATCTCGAATTTTTTGAGAATACTCACAACATCTCATAATCCAGCAATTTACTGCTGACAGTGAACTTCACTGAGCTACTGGGCTTACCTTTTCCAAGGTATTAAATTGATCTCAACCTCCACTAAGTGTTACAGAATTCATTCATTATCTAGCAGGACGCCCTGCACTCACTAATATTCGAGGCTTCCCTGCGAATGTTTAGTCGACGGTCCACTCTGCGTGAGAGTCTGACCGTATATACTTCTCATTCGATCAGAGCCAAAAGAGTTAACTGGACCTTTGTAATAAAGTCAAATAGATATGACTGTACGGTGGCTTAATATGCATTACTATAAGAATTTGATGATAGATTCTGAATCGAAGGGTAAAGTGTTGCAAAGAGTTAGACATTGAGTTTCATAAATTGATGTTTTAAAACAAAACTTTCTTTGCAAGGGGTTGCTGTGCCCCCCACAAATGATGTATTGAATCTACGAGCTAGCGCTGATAGTCACACAGAAATGGGCCAGTAACATTCATCCAGAAGCGGAGCAGAGAGCCTCTCAAGTGAATGAGTACCGAGTATAACTTTTCAATTATAATAGCATGTACACAGGTCTGACACTAAGTTTAGTTTGAACTAAGTCTAACCACATTTGCTATTATTATCTTCCTTGGTAGATTTCTATGTATTATGTTCGTGAGATCAACAGCCCGCATACCCCAGGGACCTTTCCTATCTGCCAGCCCCCCATTGTCCATATCAGTACCTGTCATAATTCTACATCAAAGAACCGTACTGTTATTTCTTAAGCTTTGAATTAAGTGCAAGGGACTATAGTGATAGTTCTGTAAATGCGTGCGGACAGTATTGAACAGCATGTACCGCATTACCCCCTATATATCAAAGCGGACACAGCCACTGTGAAAGTGCACGAGAACTTTCAGCATTCGACGTACTCTTACAACCGCTGCATCTAATAATACCTTTTCTTACGAGCAAAATTTGCATCGGGAGTTCTGCCCTTACTTACCCAAGCGACTGAACAAGACGCTATGGAAATTGCACCCCTTGTAATGGATGCCCTGCAAGATATGCACCGTGAGGCAGCCGAGATATTCTTCCATGAAGAGGTCACAGTTATTTTTCAAGCCCGATTCGGTGCCTTTCCCTCACCATGAAGTATGCGTAAAAGCCGATTTCAGTCTGTGGTCACCCTCTGAGCTTGACACGTTGACTACCCTTTGCCTGAATTGTTTGGATCTGCCACATACGTACTCGTTATAATCGCAGAAAGGGCTACGACATCCGGTCTTGGTGTCATAGCAAATATCACTAAGCTAGACTTCGCTCAGCAGACTAAGCTCACCCATCTGCAAACGCAAGACGCACAACAGCTTTTATAGGCTCAGTCACATCGTAAAAATAAAATTAACACATCAAACGTCGCCTGCCGCACTGTTGCGGAGCCCTCAATGCAGGCCTTGTTCTTAAAATTGGATCAGAACGAGTGCTCAAAAGCCGCCTCGTCTGGCTTCTCAGTCCACCACCCCTCAAGATTACCGCCAGCACCCAGAGCAACAGAGAGCCAGCCAATATGTATTATTCATAAGGAGCGGACCTTTGAATCAAACGCTGGTAAAAATCGTTTTCACATTACACATCCGGTGCGGAAGGTGCATGCCTTCATCGGTCTTACAGCTTGATAAGCCATCTTCGGTAATGTAGACATCAATACCGGTACGTCCATTAATAACAAAAAGCGGTAAAGAACAAAACAAGAAGTGTGCTTCAAGGTGAATACTAAGCGCCCAATCATTTTACCGTATTCATCAAATCATACTTATACACTGCAAATTTTAAGTAATCCGACACAGCCGCTTGTGGGTTTTTCGTTACGCCTGGGGATTCTGTCTCCTTCCCAAGGAACAAAGTAATGGTGCGCTCAGCCATCAGCGAAAATGACGTTTTAAAAATGGAGATCAAAGGTCTCGAAGTAAGGGTGGCTTTCCCACTTCGCCAGATATTGGCTACAACCCTGGTGAATATGTAGACACATTATCCGATTATAATAAAAAGTGGTTCGCTCACTTCAAGAGTCTGGGCATGTGGCCAATACTGACATGAGATATTTTTCTAATGCGCTTCTTAGACTGCGCCATCGTGCGGAGTGGCTATAGGTGGGTCAAGCGGCTCCAAATATGATCTGTTGAAGGAATCGTAGCTACAGGGGTATGTTGAGACGTTGTTCACTTTCAAAATAGCGCTTCGCATTTGCATGATTCGTTATTGTGAAAAGATGTTAAGCACACGTGGACTGTAGCGTGTGTTTGTCGAAACATTGAGAGGATGACCCAGTCCCATTGTAACTACGGTAGTAAACGGTCTGATGTAGAGAGGTCGCAACTTAGCTTTACAAACTGCATGCACTGCATGTGTAGGCAGTCAAAAGCACTTGACAGACTTTAAACTTACGCGCCTATTGTCTGCATCCAATTTTATTGTTCCACATCCTGATTTCTAGCTATTGCGTCGCGGACTTCACTCATCTAATCTGTTCCATTTGCCATGATGTGTAATGAGACTGCTATCAGCAAGTCGAGCAATACTATTAGCCCCACCCCGAACAAAACCAAAACAAATTCGTGATAGCGTCAAGGGGCTATGAGTATCGACCAGACCATGTAAAGCCTGTAGGGGCGCATGGTGCTTTTCCAACGCAAGCTCAATACGCGAAAGCATTTGGCTTCAGAATCGTGATCACCCTTGGAAACAATCAATAACCATGCGATTACCTCGTTTGATCTTACCCTTTGGCTGTAGAAATTCTGCGGTGAAAATGTCTAATTGGTTTAAAGAAAGTTAAACACATAAATTCTCTCAAAATCTCACCATCAAGCGTGGTTTTCAATCCAAAATAACGATTGCTGATGAGCAATGTTAGCAAAACCTCTCTCATTGAAAACGGCTTGAGTATATTCTCATCGGTAATTGTGTCGCTGACAGCAGAGATGGACACTCGTACCCATATGGCCCGCAACGACAACGATGCCAGAATTTTCGGCCGCGTTACTGGAAGACCAATATAATTGGACTGCCATGATTCTGTCGGATTTGGTATCTTGGTCGAAAGCGCCAACGTATACGATGAGGACGTACGTTTCACACGTGCGTGCATGAGTGCTTTCCTACTATTACATGCTGGATACGCGTACATAGCGATTACTGAGCCACTTATGACATATCCATGTGCCTCGGGGATTCCGAATTTAGGCTCCTAATGATAAGGTATCACCCACGTTGAGTTTCGATTGGGTCAGTGATATCAAGCAGCAAGCATTTGGATACGGGACAGTGGTGTTATATCAACTAAACGCTTTCACTGAGCGACATTTATACTCAAAACCGCCTGATGTAGTATTGCTGTTGACGATGCAACACATGATGCACCTGGTCGTACATATCGACCATTTGATGCATGACGTCACCATCGTAACGTGGGATAACTCGTAGTTTGAACGATGCGAAAGCGTGTCCACCACCTATTTACGTCGATCGAATTTCTACTTGCGGCTTTCCCGGAAATGGTGAGCAGCATATTGCAATTTTCTAATCGAAAGCCTGTACTTATCAGTATCATTTAAGAGATTGGTAAATACCAGCAAGTGCTCTCTGATCTTGACAACGAGATACTTCTTAGCAAGCGAATTTTCGTCCTTGAAAATTTCTCACTGACGCTTAAAGCTGACAAGACCTATACACACTAGAGCTTTCATACCCATTGTGTCCAGTCATGTACAGCCTACGGCAAAAGCTGAAGTGCCACGGACGACATGTTGATGATGTATTTGTTATATCTTTCGAATTCAGTAAGACTAGTAATTTGCTGTCAGATGCATCGAAGAGTGTTTGAGAGTTACTGACGTGTTGTGTGCTCTATCAGTGTACTTTAGTCGAGTATCCTTCACATACTCTCTCCTCCCGAAGGTACTTCCTATTCTCCGACTACCTTGTCTGGTACGATAGCTTCTCTGGGCACGTCGACTAAGATCCGCATTGTACTTTGCTTTTTATGAGCATCGGCAACGACAACTTGTTTTTGTCTTTTTCAAAGTCCAAGACAAGATAGTAAACGACGTATTGTGCTGCATTACCCGCGTAGAAGCTCAAATGCGTTTCATAGTTCTTCCCATATCATTGATGTGTGTTACAACAGTGTTGCTTATATTCGCTGCTAAGGAAATGAAGGCGAGTTGACTCGAAGTTAATGATGAAGAAAATAATTAAGTTCTCCCTGTAGTAATCGCTCGAAATTTTATGCAGACTTGATGTCGAAGAAAGTCAAGGCCAAGTGCATACGTTGTACGTGACTTTACAGGCCAATGATAGTGGAATTCTCGTGACTTAAAAGTGGACAGCGTAATTACATAATGTATAATTGCCAAGCACAACCGTCTAGCCGCCGTGACAATGTGTTTAGCCGCGGCGAGAGCACGGACGGCGACAAGAACGGCTCCAAGATTCTCAGGTGTGTCCAATTTGACCATTTGCATGCAACGGAGCGAATGAGTGAAGATAAGAAGAGATGAGTGAGTCAAGATGCGCAGCAGTGAGTGAATAAGTGAGTGTGTGAGTGTGTGAGTAAGTGAGTCTGCGAGAGAGTGAGTGAGTAAAGATACGCGGAAGAGATGTCCAAGGCCACTATCTCATTGTTGGCCAAGCCTTACGTGTGAACTTCAAGAGTTTTCAATAAAAATGTGCGCATACACTTTCAATTTCGACATGGATTTTGGCTTAGTGGTTTAGAGTGGTGGCTCCAGTCTTTTGAGTGATGGTTTGAGTCCCACGACGGTTAAAGTTTGGAAGTGGTTACTTAGTGTTTGAAGTTCACCAAGCTCCTCACCAAGAGTCACGTCCCCCGATCGTCTTTTGATCTTTTGTTCATTGATCAGAGGATTTTAAGGTAATGTAACCATAACTTCTTTTCACGTACCATTAGC